TCACGCGCCAGCCCGCCGCCGGCCCCGGCGACCGCCGACGCAACGAGCTCACCAAGGAGCAGAAGGTACGATGCCACTCTTCTTGCTTTTCGTCTACTTGTTCATTCTCTTTTTCAAATCCATCTTCATCTTCTTCTTCTTCGTCTGTAGCTTCTTTTTCTTCTTCATTTTCCCCTTTTCAATGTTCAAACTAGTCAAGCTTATTTCGTGACTATTTTCTTCTTTACAATGCTCTTATTGCATTTTGCCAAGTTTGAATGTAATCGTAAATTCTATAAATGTTAAACGTTTTAGTTCTTAACAGAATAAAACATAATGTAAACTATGTAACACAAACGACATAAATACCTACCTGGGATATTTAAGGTAGATACGTCTCAGCTGTTATGGGTTCAATCCCCACCTCGGACATGGGTATTTGCTTTGCTTTTATGACATGGTGCAATTGTGAACTATCTCCATACAGCAGTCTTCCTTCCATCCTCAATAGTAGTAAATCTAGATAGGTGTGCGGGATATCTCAGGTCCTATATGCATCATTTGGCATCATTTTCTGCCTATTATTAATTTAGATCATAATGGTAATTTCATGGCAGAATGTATTAAATTCAAATGTATCTTGTTGCTGTTTTTTATAAAATTGGAATTCATCCCCTGCAACGTTTATTTAAAGTCGCACTGGTGACAAATTTGCACGTTGAGCAATTGACAGATTTGTGCAGCATAGGCTTCATCTCATCAAGGCAAAGTAGACCTTTTCTCTTGGTCATGACGGTATCCGTGGCATATTGGTTCCATATCCCAGACGTGAATGCCTGCAGCTTGAATGCAATGCTGGGTAGTCAAGGAGGAACGCGTGTGCGTTACGGAGGTGCGGTGTTGCGCAGGCACGGCAGAGGCACTCGGTGGAGGTGAGCACGGCCGGCACCTACCTGCACATCCAGCCCAGCACCCTGGAGACGCTGACGCGGTCGGCGGCCAACGCCAACGCCAACCGCAACCGCAAGAAGCAGCAGCAGCAGCAGCAGCAGGCGGCCGCGCCGGGCGAGGACGCGCCCGTCAACGGCGCCGCCAAACTGCAGGTACAGCCCCCCCCTCCTGCTCCCCCGCTCCCTGTTGACTGATAATTGTGCTTCAGGTCGTGTAGTGCACGCTAAATACCGGAGTGTGGCGGTGTTCCTGCCACGCTGGAATGTGAGATCCGGAGCCAACTTGAGATTCGCCCCTGCGGGGAAAAGCTTAAGCCCCCGACTGATGTCGCGACATGTGTGGTAGTGTTGCTATGTTAATGGTGTCGAAAATTTCCCACCTTCGGGACTCGAACCCTAGAACACTGTAGTGGCAGCAGTTGTCCCGAGGCATGTCACCCGGTCCTAAGTGTATTGTCTCTATGCAGAATTATGATGAAAACCTCGCAACTTCATCATTTCAATTTTGCAATACAAACAAAAACGAGTAAATACATAAAATAATATACAGGTGCTTCAGTTTGAAATGTGAACAAACATAGTGTAACTAGAATGGAATCACCTAACATAGTCCAAATTTTGACCTTCAATGTTTTGAGTTCAGATATTTTTGGCTAGACTTGATAGTTCCTTGGTATTTATTGCCTAGAAATGATATTGGTTTTGAGCTGGCTGGAGCATTAAGACAGGGGGTCACCCCAATCATTGCAGCCATGCGGTGGCTTTGCGCCTTCGTGTTCCGGGGTGCAAGTTCCGGCGGAATCGTATGGAATCAATGGAGAAAGCGGGTTCTCTGCAGTTTCTCCCGTTCTTCTACCTCTCCACTATTGCTTCGTTGTCTTTGAATTTACGTTGTCACCAAATTCTCATTCATCGTAACGTCCATGATATGGTCAAAAGGTTCAGAAAATCAGGATCTAATAAGCATAACGATGTATGCCAGCGCCCTTGGTGGAGATGGTAATAAAATATTGAACGATGCAATGCAATGATTCATTCTGTTGATACGAGAAATTAAAATAAATTCAAGCTGTAATTTATGGTATTAAATTTCTGTTGCCGGCGTATATTACTAGAACATCTTTCAATTTACAGCTATATTTCGAAGTTAATAAAATTGCTCTTTAGAATTATAATTGGTATTTGTTGATGTCAACTCATCGTTGTTGGTATAATTTAACTAGACTGGTAGAGCTATAATTTGTTGCTGTAATCGTAGGTATCCCAAAGGAAGCAAGAGCATGTTTTTGAAAAGTTATTCGCCTTCAAACGTACGGTGCAGTTCATATTTCTTCGTTTCATCTGCAGCTTAAAAGGAGAATTGCGTGTCCAGTAGATTAATAACGGAAGCAGAGGACCACCGATTGCATTGTTCTTTCCTAATGAGATGGCGCGATTCTAAGTCATTAGACGATTCCCAGTACGCTGCCCGAATGTGTATGTGCGCGCATTAACATGCATTTGCATGTCTATAATTTTCGTAAAATGCCATTAAGAGGTTTTATCGTTAAATTTGACGTGGCATTCATTTGGAGACGGATGTTAAACAAATAGCAGACAGATCGCTAGAAATGTGACGTTCTTTCGTAATTGTTTTGCATATGAATCAGCTTTCTTTAATGTGGGCCGTAGCAGAGACACGTTTGCACTGAAAGTGATTCTTATTCGGCCGCAAGAGCTTTTTACTTTAATGAATGGTCGAGATGAGACTGCATTACTTATTTCTAATGATGAAAGTATCATATAGCCCACACTACTTCCTTATACTAAATTCCAGAAAACATAAGGGTTCCTCCAGAAAGTATTGAGGAGGTGACCATTTCATAAAAGCAGAACACATTTCGTAATAATAAAAATTGATCACATCAATTTGATGATCAAATTCCTTTCATTGTAAGTATCAAAATTATACACTTCATAAATTAAGAGTTAATGTAAGTACTTACAAAAATCAGTTACTTGAAAAGTGTACTCGCTACAACAACTTGACTTTAAGTTTTTATTAATAAATCGCATAATGATTCTAGAGAAAGTTTGCATTTTAAAAAGGTGCCAAGTGAATAAAAGGTGGAATTTTGAAAAAAATACTTAAGTATATAATACTTAAGTTAATAAATTCCCAATATGTAGATTTTTAAACCAGTTTATAAAATGTTATAAGTTAACAGTTCTTCAGCTGCGTGTAGTGGATGGGCCAGTTGTTGAGGGCGCCCGTGCGGTTGCAGGCGCTGCCCGAGGCCGCCTTCCACACGGTGGCTGTGCTGCCGCCCGCCCTGCGCGCGCTCGTCTGCCTCTGGGAGGAGCTCAGCGCCAGCTGCCTGCAGGCCATCGAGCGACAGGTGAGGCAATGCTCTCCTTCTAGAGGAATATTTAGGGGTAAAAGTTGTCACGTAATTCAAACTACTCGTAGTATATAATCACGCATTTGTATGCCTTAAGTATAATTAGTACGTCACTTTTTAATGGAAAATTAATTGCATTCATATTACAAAGGACCGCATTTTCTATTACTTCGATAATCATTCTTTGATTGTGTGCATTCATTGCTTTTGGCGTTACTGTCTTGTCTTCGAAAGTTTCATATTTCTCCGTGATTCCTCGGAATAAATGTTACAACCTTCTATACGGCATGCGGTTTCTCGAAGATGATCACTTGTTGGCAGAATCTCCTTCTGTGCCGTCGGATTTCATGCACCTCCTAAAAGCCAGTGCAAGATGTGTTGCCTACCAAACTCGGGCAATTATTACATGTGTAAATTAGTTATTTGAGATTTCAAACTATATGTTCATTGGCAAAGTAAAAAAAAAAAAAATCGTCTCTGCCCCCCCCCCC